TGGTCCCAAACTAGGTTCTTCCAAAATTACATAAAAGCTGTTTACAATGAACCACCTTAAAGCAGTTTTCAGCAGGCACATCAAACCTTCAACACAAAGCTATATTTGAAGTTCCAAAGTCAATCAATAAGGTTAGTTTGGTCATTCTCAAAGTCCCACTCCAACTTCGACGAGGATGCTAAGAAGGTCTACTAGAGCTGATAAACAGAATAGGCTACTAGTGACAACAAGGAAGGCCAACAGATTTATATGCCAAGGAAAGTGTGGTGTAACTCCTTTCATCGTTATTTCCATATATGCATTTAAGCACTGCTTATCCTTTGCTGGTGGCATATTTATCTCTCTTGAAAGGTGACTGGCATTTGTTTTTGAAAGAACTTGTCCCTTCTTTCTTCAAAAAATAACCTTTCCTTGGTGCATGACAAGAAAAGTATGGTTTCAATAACTTTCATTCATCTAACAAAGAAAATAAGTCTTCTCTGTGGCTTTGACAATTAAAAACAAAATTACCAATGGCATACAAAAAGACACAATTATAGAAATTTGTATGAGTGAAAAGAGATGAAAATAAAAAAGGCGCTCACCTCACGAACTATTTGTTTGAGTGAATTGTGGAATGGGGTCAATAAATCAACATGGCTTTCTTTGGGCTCATCTTGTAGGAGATCATCACCATCTTCTACTGGTGGATGAACTTCAATAAGGGGCAAATAGAACTGCAAGAAGGACCTTAGGGATGTGAGAGCCAGAGATCTAAGTTGAAAAGCTGAGAATAGAGGCCTAAGCTCTATTGGGTACTCTTTACACTTAAATGTAATTGACTTCTCATTTTCAGTTGCACTACTAAGATTGGGGATGTAGTTTTCATTCCATGCAATAGTGGCACCAGCATCACAATAGGCAACAGAAATTCCTCCATCACTGCAATTAGGTATGCAAAACCATTAGAAGAAAGGCTAGAAAATTACAAGTTCCTGATGTAACATAAGCTGAACAATTAACATCATAAAACTTTGAACTGGAAGACCCATCTTAAAACCATGATATAGTACATCTCACCAAAAAAGGCAAATATTAAAAATCATGAAGCTTAGCTGAGATTCAATGGAATATTTATATTTCACAGAAGAAATTAAATAATGCGCATGATCATCATTTGAATAAAGTTAAGTTGATTGATCACAGATCTGACCTTCTATCAGAAGGATGTTATCCAGTTTCCCAAAAGATATCACTTGTGTCAAATACACACGGACTTTATTAGACAACACCCAGAACCTCTATATGAGCCAACAACACAGATTCCATCCCAAAATCATGATTATACTGTACATAAATGAAGATCACAAGCACCTCAAATATTTTTATTAGGAGGATTATTATTCTATATATCATTTTCAGAATGAACATACCGTAGAAGCTTCTCAAAAAAGCTCTGCTGCTTCGGTGACAAATAAAATTGATATTCATTTCAAAACTACAACTTTTGTCAGACAAAGGATGGTTGCTTATATTCAGCTAGCTTTGGCACATGCCTCAACATCACATGATTTATAAATACACTGCATAATGCTACTTTTTCCTGTCTGCAAAAAGTAGTATTTTCTTGTTCAATTTGATGATAAATATTATTTATTGCAATCGAACAATTTTGAAGTCTAAGACGGATAAATCTAATCCAAGTCTCTAACAGAGTAACAGCCACATCCTCATTCCTAAGGGTTTTATCCCACATCATAGGTTGAAGCACGTGCTTCATAGCAACAATCTCAATTAACAAAATATATAGCTTCTATACCTATGTTTTAATGGATAAATAGAGAGAGAGTGCGAGAGTTCATTTTCAAAGGCAATCAAAAGACAAGGGCTTCCATGTCAATTTGGAGTGTACTACAATTTATTGGCTTTTAATCTTCAAGAAAGAGAGAAAAAAACAATTTAAGTTCATACAATATATATGCATCTCTCTATATAGTACATTTTATAGATATTAATGTACAAAAAGTGAATGCCTATCATTTCCAAGGGATCTTCATTTCAAAATTGTATAGATATTAGTCTTTTAAAGGGACGCGACGAAGTTGTTTATCTACATTCTACAAAGCTAAAGTCTTGATCGAATCCATCTAAATGGCATCTATATACTGATATACTATGTAGTAAAAGATGATGTTTCTCTTTAATTAATTCCTAAATAGGAGCCCCTCGTGTGTGGTGTAATCTACAAAACATGCTGTAATTTATCAAAGCAACTTCGTTAAAAACAATGCCAGTAAACACAACACTGCTAATAAGAAGATAGAATAATCTTTTTTAATGGTGCCATGACAACCTACACTTTTGTAACAAATTTATCCAATGAAAAAAGCATTCCTTACGAAATTATATTTAGCACTTCATACAACATTATTTGAAGAGGCGTCTTTCTTACACTTCACCCAACTACAGACTCATACAAGCTTTCTACTTTTCCCTACATGCTTCACAAACAATAAATAAATTTATTCCAATAAGCCAAAAACATGAACACGATCGCCTAAGAAACAACAACGTCCACTTGTAACTTAACATCTTGAGAAGCGCAACCACCAAAAAAAAATTGGTTCCAACTAATTCAAATGAATTGTACTCAAGAGCGAGAAAGCATGAATCTTGAAACCATTTGAAATCACCGGAAGTAATATAAAAAGAAAAGAGCCAGATGTAGCTGAAATAAATGAATTTAAGGAGAGGGATACCGACAGCTCACCCGAAAATGGCTCTAGAAGCGAAGGGCTTGGAGGCAGCGATGTACGCGGCGGCCGCCGAGGCGGCGGCACTAGCTGTGAGGAGAGCATGTGAATGGAGCAATAGGGCGGAGGAGGAGGAAGAGGAGGAGGAACCCTGTGCGCTCTTCAGTAGATTGAGAATAAGAGATATTCCCGCCATCCACGTCTGCC